CAACCCAGTCCAAGCCCCAAAAACCTGCAGCCCCCAGCCCCCAATTTCAGATCGCAGCCAACCCCCCACCCAACCCCCCCAACCCCATTCCCAACTGCAGTCCAAGGCCCCCAACCCCATTCCCAACCCAGTCCAAGCCCCTGCAGACCCCAGCCCCCAATTTCAGATCGCAGCCAACCCCCCACCCAACCCCCCCAACCCCATTCCCAACTGCAGTCCAAGCCCCAAAACCCCCCAACAGCCCCCAACCCCCGGTCACAGCCCCTTTATACAACCCCCCAACCCCCAACCCATTCCCAACCCAACCCCCAAATTCCGGTCACAGCCAATGTGCCCAACCCCCCAACAACCCCCCCAAACCCCCTTCCCATCCACCCCCTCACCAAAACCCCATTCCCCTGCGTCAGCTTCGAAATACAACCATCAATTCCCACGCCCAAAAGAATCTATTGCATTCACTGCATCCCAACCCCAAACCCATAACCCTGAGCCCTGCCCATGTCTAAAAAAGTGGAAAATGAACCGAAATCCAAAACAAGCACACTTCGCACCACTGCTTACCAACCCCAAACCCACAACCCTGAACCCCGGACCCACCCTGAACCCTGAATTTTCCCATGGATGTCCGACCCATGTCTAGAAATAGTGGAAAAATGAAACCGAAATCCAGCACAAAAACACAATTTGCAACATTTGTGGGTTGGGGTGCTTTGGGGGTTAAATAAGTCATACATGTAATGCTTCTGAATAACACGTTCTAGAAAGGCTTGCACTGCTCTATCACTTGCGGCCATCTTTTATACCGTGTTGGATCTGTAAGGCTCTGCGGCTTGCTTTCAGTTTGCCTGCAATCCGAGATTTTTTTCTGGCTCGCAAAGGTTTTGGAACGGAAGGCCTTGCCTCCTGAAAGATGGCGGGGCCAGGTGCAAGCTCCGAGTTTCCGGCTGCGGCTCTGGAGCTGTCGGAGCCAGCAGCTGTGGCTGTGTGGCCAGCTGTGCCTGTGAGGCTGGCGGAGCCAACAAGTGTGGTTGTGGGGCCAGCTGTGCCTGTGGAGGCAACAACTGTGGTTGTGGGGCCAGCTGTGCCTGTGGAGGCAACAGCTGTGGCTGTGGGGCGAGCTGTGCCTCTGGAGGTGACGGGGCCAGCGCCCAAGCCAGCTGCGAAGCCAGCTGGCTCCAAGCGCCCAAGGGAGGCAGCCTCAGACGACGAGGAAGGACTGAGGCTGGCCTTGAGGCGGTTGGACTCCTCCTGCAGCTCCAGCGACACGGAAGATGTCAAAGGGCCAGGACCGCTGCAGCTCTTGCACATGATCGAGAACTTGAGCCGCGAGATGGACTACATGAAGTCCAAGTCGCGATGTGAGGTGGAGGCCCTGCAGCGGCAAGTCGACTTCCTCAAGAACGCCTTGAAAGAGCTGTCTACCAGCATGACCAATTTTGCCCAGATCAATTGCGACATGGTCGAGGCCATGTTGGGCAGCTGAAGGGCTCAGCGGCTTAGCCCGTGTGGTGCAGAGGCTTCGCCCTGCAAGGGCACGTGCACATGGGCGAGCTTTTGGAAAAAAGCTTGGGTTCGCCACGCTGGCCTCAACCCTGAAAGCCTTGTCCTATATCTATGTATACAACCCCCCGAAGCCCTAAATCTAAAAACTTGGGTTTCTTCTCATGTGCGAGTGGCATCGGCATTTCTCCTCAAGCTCCTTTGCCTGAGGCTCGCCCGGGCTTTCTTTAGGCCCGTGTAGGTAGCAACATGGACGTGCACATGGAAGTTGTGCACCGCCTTGAGCGCCGCCTTCGCCTCTTGGACATCAACCAGTTGGTTGATGGCCTGGACCGTCTGCATGGGGCGGGCTACAAGGTCATAGACCTGGGGCATTCCGCTTTTCATGCGGATGAGCTCCGCCCATGCCCGCGATGCCCACGGTTCGGGCTTGGCCACAAGATCGCGGCGGCGACTCTCCGGCTGGCAGTGCCTGGTTGGTTGTCGAGGACAATCCCCTCCAACGAAGAGAAGGCCCACAGGGTGTATGAAGCAATGGTTGCTTTCACCTGGGTCGCGGAGGGATATGTCATGCAAGGATTCAGCGAACACAACTCGCGGATTCTTCTTGCCATGTCCCGCGACATCTCGGAGCTGCCGTATCCGCCACCTCTGGTTTGGACAATCGAAGACTTGGTGGAGACGCTGACGCCGCTGGAACCTCCGGTCCCTCCAGCCCTGGTGCTTTTTGCAGCTCCTGCAGAAGACGAACCGGCTCCAGAGCTCAGCCCAGAACCCGCACTGCAGGACCAAGGGCCGGAAGAGCCCGCAAACCCAGAAGCTGCTCTGCAGGTCCAAGGGCCGGAAGAGCTTTTCTTCAACGAGCTGGACTGAGCAGGCTACGGGTTTGCAAGGCTCTGCCTGCAGAAGCTTTGGCATGCTGCAAGGCTTCGCCTGCGGCATGCCCGGAATAGGAATCTGCGTAGAGCCAGATCCCAGAAATCGGACCCTTAATGGGTTCCAGTTTACGCAAGACTTAATGCAAGACAAAGTCTTGCATACAAATCGCAGCAGCGGGTAAAAACAGAGCAGGAACACTACTACTACTGCTACTACTATTTATGTATATAAATATACCTGGGATCCACCACCTTTAGCATGGTCCGTCGAACGATGGTGGAAGGCAAAGGCTTCCAAATTTCATGTGCCTGCAACATGTAGTCATGATGAGTTTCTGGCTCCAGCTTTGTCACAGAAAGGCTTGCCTTCTCGTCTAGAACTTCCAGAGAAAGGCTTCGCCTTCTCGTAATGGAAGCTCCACCGCACTCACACGTGCTGCGCCGCATGTCGGAACATATCGAGGAGGACGACTTGGAGACGCAAAGCATGATGGAGGACCCGGAGCCTGAGCAGTTGGAAAATCAGGTGTACTGGCTCCAGCTGCGGATCCAAACACTGGAAGCCACGATCAAGAAGGAGCGCGAGGAGAAGAAAGAACTTCAAAAGCTTGTGGACGGGCTTAAGTGCACGGTGCGTGCATTGTATGACGCAGTGCAGGATGTGACAAAGATGAGTGATGATTTTGGTGCCATCCTGAAGCGGTGGGACCGGCAAGAGCCATGAGCCGTGAGCTGGACAGGGAAGCCTTGGACACTGTAGCCTCTGTCGACAGGCGTGTGGTTATGCTGAAAAAATGCAAAGCGCAACCGGTTGCACTATGTATTTTGCTACGAAATCAATAGCTTAGAGACACATTGACTTTTCCCAGGTACTACTACTACTACTACTACGCATAAACTATAACTTCGTGCTGCTTGTCAGGAAGCCACAGCATGGTGTGATGCAACCGTTGGCTCAAAGTCAGGTTTTGCTCTCGCTGCATGAGGGCATCGCCTCATCAGCCGTGGATCGGTGCTCCATCCAGTCTGGGAAACAAACAAGCTTACCTGTTTCTGTGCATGGAAGAACTCGATGCACAACCTGCTGCACTTTGGGTTCTGGGCATCAGTCGGAGTTGGATTCTAATCTGTAGCTCAGCATGCCTAGCTAAAGCATTGTTGCAGGCTTTGGCCTACCATCTCTCCTTCGGGGTTTCCGATTTGGCCATCACAAAAAGAGGCATCGTACCAACGCAATCCCAAAGCCAATGCAGCTGTAGAAAATCTTTGCTGCCATGGCTGGCTGGAAATGCAAAAGCTGCCCTCGACTAACTTATCGCCGACCCCCAGCTAATGTCTGCAAGAAATGCGATCCGGGCAACAGAATCGGCAAGCACAACCGGAAGGTGCCTCATTTCAGGCTCCGGAAGAAGACTTCTGTGCAGATGACCCATCTCTTCCGGTGGCAAGCAATGCCAGTACAGTCTTCTGCTGCTGCTGCTGATTATCAGTTTTTTTTCCAGGCTTTGGCGGGTGAGCTCGATGTTTTGAAGGCTATGGCTGCAAGGACAGGGCTCAAGATGTCCGTGGTTCACGGTGTTCTGGCTGTGGCTTATGCTTGGCTGGAGAAGATCGAGGGATGCAGGGTTCCACTCCCATCCTCAATGAGAATATGTGGCTTGATTTCTTTCGCCATTGCCAATGAAGCACAGTGCGATCCGGATGTCGTGAGACCAGCCTATCGCAAACACAAGAGCATTGCTGTGAAAGAGATGAGGAGCTGCGAAAGCCGTTGGGTAAATGTCATTGGTAACCTATAGATGTCCAATGAAGTCTTCAGATCCCGCACTGCAGGACCAAGGGCAGGAGGACCAAGGGCCGGAAGAGCCCGCAAGCCCAGCAGCTGCTCTGCAGGACCAAGGCCTGCAGCACCAAGGACCGCAAGAGCTTTTCCTCAACGAGCTGGACTGAGCAGGCTACGGGTTTGCAAGGCTCTGCCTGCAGTAGTTTGGCATGCTGCAAGGCTTCGCCTGCAGCATGCCCGGAATAGGAGTCTGCGTAGAGCCAGATCCCAGAAATCGGACCCTTAATGGGTTCCAGTTAATGCAAGACAAAGTACAAAGTCTTGCATACAAATCGCGGCAACACTGCAGAAACTAGTTTCGCAGTTGATTGTTGAAGCCTTGGACACTGTAGCCTCTGTAGACAGGCATGTGCTTATGCTGAAAAAATGCAAAGCGCAACCGGTTGCACTATGTATTTTGCTACGAAATCAATAGCTTAGAGACACATTGACTTTTCCCAGCTAATTTGTTGCTTCTGCTGCTACTACTGCTACTTCTACTTCTAGTACTATACTATTACTGCTAGTACTACTGCCTCTGTAGACAGGCATGTGGTTATGCTGAAAAAATGCAAAACGCAACCGGTTGCACTATGTATTTTGCTACGAAATCAATAGCTTAGAGACACATTGACTTTTCCCAGGTACTACTACTACTACTACTACTACTACTACTACTACGCATAAACTATAACTTCGTGCTGCTTGTCAGGAAGCCACAGCATGGTGTGATGCAACCGTTGGCTCAAAGTCAGGTTTTGCTCTCGCTGCATGAAGGCATCGCCTCATCAGCCGTGGATCGGTGCTCCATCCATGGCCGAAAAGCATGTGCGAGACATGCTGGACTTTGTGGCGATGCTCCGGAAATCGCCTGGCATGGACGAGGGCCGTGCAGAGAAGATGGAAAAGAAACTGCTGCAGCAGCTGGAGGAGCTGCCTGGAGCAGTGAGCTTTCAAGAAGCCACACGTGCCATGGAGAAGGTGTCCGCGGCAGATGTGCCGGATGGCTTTAAGCAGGACATCGTGCGATGTTTGGAGGAAAAAATCGAGGCGACGGGTTCCGCCGAGAGTTCCGCCACCACGCGGGAGCTCAAGGGCAACCAAAAGATGCAACAGCATCGTTTTTTCTACAACTTCCTGCTGCAAGCGGAGTGGGATGCCATCATGAACCCGAGAGCCTCCGCGAGGAGCAAGCAAAGGGTGGTGGCCAACAGGCTACAGCTCCTGGGCTTGGTGTATCCGAGGGAGGCAATCTTCAAGCAGGCCACTGCCATCTTGCTGCTTGGCAGCCACGATGGTGCTCCGGAGCATCTGAATGTGAATTTTGTTACGGCCTTAGACCTGCTGCAGGAGCTGAAGGACCTGTGCAGGTCTTCGTTCGACAAGTCCAAGTTCAGTGGGCTCAAGGACTACCCGGAGAGTGCGAGAGATCTCCCGAGTGATCTCTTCAGGGCGGCCTACGGGGAACAAGCGCCGGCAGCTTGTCCCATGGACTTGCCGGCCTTGCACGGGCTTACCAAAGCCCTTGCTGCGAGGAGCACGCACAACAGTGTGCAGCAAAAGGGCTTTGGGCAGCAGCTCGGCAAAAAGGACAGGTGCCTTCAGGAGAACATGCACGGTGCCCTGTTAGGGCACCTTGGCAACCTCTTGATGAATGCCATGGAAGGGAACGGCGTCCCTGGCCTGCGAAATTTCGCTATGACGAAGAAGCGGAAGATGTTGGAGGACGGAGAAGCCTCCGTGCCGCTTGAGCTCCAGCTCCCAAGCAAGCAGCTGGCTTTGAAAGACAAGGACAAGGTGGCGGAGAAGGACGAGGAACAGCAAGCAGAGGACTTGGAGGAGGACGAAGAGGCTTCGCCCTTGAAAACGCCTGCCGAGCCTAAGGCCCGGCGCAGTGTCGACGAGATGGTCTCCAAACTCCAGGACCAGCTCGCGGCCAACAAGGGAAATCCAAGCAGCACACCTGCCAAAGCAAAGGCTGAAAAGGAGTCCGAGACGACTCCTTCGCCCAAGCCGTCGAAGCCGGCGAAGGGCACACCTGCCAAAACAAAGCCTGCCGGAGGAAAGGGCGCCGGCCAGGCAGCTGCAGCTGCAGCCCATGGGAAAGGCAAAGGCAAGGGCAAGGGGAAGAAGGTGCTGACAGCTTTGCCCAAGTACCCGGGCACGGCAAAGAAGCCGCCGGTGTGGTTGCAGACCTGCAAGATCTACACGGATACGACCACGAATGCGTGGAGGGTCCAGATCTGGGGCGACAAGAAGGACAAATCGTTCAAGTTTTCGGACAACCCAAAAGCTTCTTGGCAGCGGCTCAGCGCCTACGTGAGCGAGCTCTAGATGTCAGTGGCCTCGCCCTGCATCTTGCATGTAGGTCTACCGGCGGCCTCGCCCTCTGCGTGCGCTTCCGCATTTGGCAGTGGCTTCGCCCGGCAGTCTTTAAAGAGCATGTGCGACGGGGAACCGCACGCAGAAGAAAAAAGATTGTAGAACGGAGTTGGTTTAACCCCCAGCCCTAAATGCATGTTCAACCCTGTACATAATCTGTTACAGGCTTTCCCTGCGTGGCCGTTTGTCATACAATATAATTTGAATGCTGGCAGATTTTGGCATTCTGAACACTGTTTTTTTCACCTCTACATGATTTTTTGGACCGCCGCAGTACCTCAAAATGCTTTGCTCGTGATGAATTTTTGCACCCCTCATGATCGCAAAATGGTGCTCGCGAAACGCATTTTCTGACCACCTATATACCTCAAAATGGTTTTCTCGTGACGAGTTTTTGCGACCCTCATGATCCCAAAATGGTGCTCACCAAACCCATTTTCTGACCGCCTATATACCTCAAAATGATCTTCTCGTGACGAGTTTTTGCACCCCTCATGATCGCAAAATGGTGCTCGCTAAACCCCGAAATGTGTGCTCGCTAAATCACCAATTTCGGAGTTATAAGTCACTTATAAGTCCGACTTATAAGTCCACCAAAACTCCACTTATAAGTCCGAGATAACTCGACTTAACAAGTCCAGTATATCTCGAGTTATAACTGACCAAAGCAAAAACCCGCCAAAGTAGGACATCCGGCCGACACTCACAGAACTCAACATCCTTTGCTAATCATGCTTCCGGTCAACGGAATCGGATGAATCGAAGGCTGAATTCCTGATTCGAGTCGCACAAAAATCCTACGAGATCTCTTCATCGCAGAGACTCAGCATGCAATTTCCCACGAGGCTCAGCCTGAACTGAGACCCTGCTGAATGATGGATAGTCAAGCCTGAAACCCTCGAAACCCGCGAGTCCCCGTTGAGGAAGACTCGAGACAGCATCTTGGCTCGCCCGTCACCTTGTAGAACCTCGTATACGGGCTTTCGCGAGGAGCAGAGTCTGTACTCGCATGCCGCGAGCGTCTGCGACAAGCCGACACTGATCTAGACAAGCACCAAGCCCCTCCGCTGCTCTGGCTCGAGACAAAGACACCCCCAAAAAACACAGGCTGGAGATCAGTAACATGTGCAGGAACATCATGTTAGGACTCAGAAATTGTAATTCCGTATTCTGTTTCGAAGTGTCAAACATGTCGCCGACCTCAAGCAGACCGACATAACTTCGTCTTGCCAGGATTTGCTGAGCCGGCCTGGTGCTTCAGCTGCCTCTGTGGCTTCGCATAGCGGTGTGTGTTCGGATTCTGAAACGGGTTGCCCTGCAAGTGGCGAGAAATCCACATCGATCTGCTTCTGTGCGCAGTGGCATGTGGAGATGCGCATGACTGCACCATCTTGCAACCATATGTGCTACAGCATCGGTTATGGCTGGTATGATTTAATATGCAGACAATCCTGAAGGCACCGAGTGTACAGAGAGGTATACGTATGTGTAGGTGCAGGTGTAGGTGCAAATGTCAATGTATGTGTACATGTACCTGTATATGTGTATGTGCTGGTGGACTTGAATGTGCTTTATTGTATGTGATTATGTGTATGTATGTATATGCGTTTAACGTATGTACGCCGCAGGAATGCCTTGAACCAGCCTACCGCAGCGTGCGTTGTTTTGTTGATTTGAGCACGTTTAGGGTAGCATTCACACTGCTGCAATCAGTCGTGTTAGCAGCCATGTACTGTATGTCCATTCAGTGTTTCATGAGTGTTTATATCTGACGCAACCGTAGCCGCGTGGGTGTGTGCGTGAATGAGACGGTGTATGTATGTATTTACGTATGTATGTATGTATGTATGTATGTATGTGTATATGGTATACATACATCCCTACGTACATACATACTTATGTGTGTGTATATATTCAGATATGTATATATTGTATAGTCATGGATATACCTCTGATATTGTCTTGTGTGTGTGTGTGTATATGTATGCAGGTGAGCAGGCAGGCAGGCAGGCAGGCAGGCAGGCAGGTAGGCAGGTAGGCAGGTAGGCAGGTAGGCAGGTAGGCAGGTAGGCAGGTAGGCAGGTAGGCAGGTAGCCGGGTAGGCAGATACGCAGATAGGCAGGTAGGCAAGCAGGCAGGTAGGTACGTATATGTACTTACATGTGATCGTGTATGTACGTATGTACGTACGTATGTATGCATGCATGTATGTACATGCAGGTACATGTATGTATGCATGTGGCATGCATGTCTGCATGTATGCGTGTATACAGGTGCTCACATACGTACATGCCTGGCCGGCAAAGGTAGTTGCAGGTAGGTTTAGGTAGTTCTACATATTGATGAGTTTACAGATTTTTTACTCACATTGCTATGCAGAGATGTATAGCTAGAGTGATGAGACGTATACACTATAGTCACTATAGGTATTGTCCAATGCACCAATCTCTCCACAAGCATCATCTCAAACCTCGCCCCAATCTCCTGCCAGTGTCTTCCTTTCACCGCTGGCTCTATCCAATCGGTATACCAATGCCATGCACAACTCGGGCCTCAGCGTTGTTAACATGTATGCACAAAGCCCTTCAGAAGCACGAAGGAACTGTCGGTGCCTGCCGCTCAACTGAGCCGGAACGGGCTAAGGCCACCTCAGTCTTCCGAGTAGCTCCAACAAGCACATTCCCGTTGAAGGTATCAGTCCGCACCCGGGGTGCTTTTGGATGTACTCGAGCTTCGGGCGGGGGCTCAGGAGCGTTTCAGGGGGCATTTTCGGGCCGAGGTCCCTCGGCTTTCAAAAGAGTAGGATGCATCATGCTAGGGTTTGGTCTTTTTGGATTGACGCTCCTATATAGCTCTCCAGACGGCAAGTGAACTTCAAAACCCTAAACCTCCAAGAACAATACCCCAAACCCCAACCATGTAGCCGTGAACCTCAAAGCTTAAAACCACAAACCATGGACACAGAAGCCTCCAAGTCCAGCAATCCCATCTGGTGGAAGCTCGTTGCATCTGGCAAAAACGGAAGATAAAGCTTACGTACAGCAACGAGGGTTCTCCTTCTTACGGCGCATAAACTCCCTAAGCCGCGAAACTCCCAAACCAACAAAAGACCCTTCATCTTCGAGGACGGCCGTCTGGGGCACCTCCGCTGCAGCTTTCAGCCTTGAGTCGGCACTGGCCGCCTTACAGGGAACAACTCATGTTGTGTTTTGTGTCGGGCTTCAGGGCCGCAAGGCATGATCCCGATCACTGCATATAAGTTTCTGCCTTCCTGCTTCGGTGCTACCAGTGTTTTGGCTCCGGACAGCTGCATCTTTGCTGCAGCTGGACGCTTGATTCTAGACTCTAGACCCTATCTCATTTATCTAGCTTGCTGTTGGTCTGGTAATGGTTGAACTGCTGGGACCATCGGGCGCGACGCAGTCCATGAGGCTGGCTGCAGAGCAATTACACCCTCCAGCGCTTCTAGGATTTATGATTCCACGTCCAGAAACAGGAACGGCCCTAAGCCGATCGAAGCCCAGACAAGATTGGGCCTGCTGGCTCTGGAAGGCCCTCTTTGAGAGGAATCGACACTGCTCCTCTTTCTTGAGCTCCTGCAGATGGCTTTGGACACTGCAAAGCTTCGAGTCTGATGGCTGCCTGAGACCATGTGCCCTGAATTCCTTTGAACCGGATACACCTGGGATAAAAACAGCACAATGGAGATCAAATCCCAAAGATCCGAGATGCGAGACGCCACAAAACTTCGGAGATGCCTTGACTCGGACAAGCTCTGTGTGCGCCTGTCCGGGAAGCGCAACTTAGCAGTGGGGAGTTGTCCTGCGAGTTTTTGTTTCGGGGCGGGGGGAGGGGGGGAAGAACATAGTAAGCAAGGCAATAACGTAGTCATCAACGGTTCAACGGTTCCATCACTGGCTGCTGTGCTTTGGTGACCAGGGCCAAAGCTGATGATCCGATGGTCTGGGGCTGTTTCGACTCTGGGACTCCAAGTTCGGGGAATAGACTTCAAGAGTTCGAGCTTACGGTTTAATCAACCCTTCATCGAAGGTGACACGATTCGTCGAGGAGCGGAGATGGCAGCTGAAAGTGGAGTGCCATGGTAAGACAGCCTTGACGATTAAGCTGAAAGGGTTCCAATACGTAATGCTGAGGTCAGCCATGAGTTTATCTACAAACCGCAAAACCACCGCTTCGAGCTCTAGTCCAAAAAACCCAGAACAAGATTCAAGCTTCAGGCGAAAGCTTCTTCCCTTGGCCATGAGAGCCTCGTTGATGGGTGCAAAGTGAAACGCTGCCATCGGCCTCTTCGCCTGGTCTTCAAAGCCGTCTCGGTTGAATCTTGAATCCTCTCGATTTCTTGAAATTCGAAATCATCTGGCGGCAAGTCACATATTTCCACGTTCCTAATCATGCACGTCTTCGCACAGTTCCGCATGTCAGACGTGTCTGTCTGTCAACATTCAGTCAGTTCAAGGCTATACATGCTTGTGCATGGTCGTACACGAGCGGGCTTCGCTTTTACACAAATGTAGACTCATGTAGACATGACAGCCACTCTCGTGAACAGAGGTTGAGCATAGCTGGCTCGGGATTCGCAGCCAAGCATGCAGGCAAACCTTTCCAGGCAACTTAATTTGCTGAGTCTAAAGTGAAACCCGCATGACAAACTAAACAAGATGAATGACCTGTCGGATGCAAGAAGCAAACTGTCGTAAACATTAACGAGGAAGTTATGCCACGTTTCCCCAACACATCCAACACATTGGGCTCAAAGGCATGAACAATGGAAGCACATGACAAGGGACATCACTCGAGAAAGTGCTCAAACCCTTGTTTGCCCAAGGCCACGTCCAAAAAGATCCCACGTTCTCATGCGATCTAAAGCTGAAGTGGCATTTTGTCGTCGGCTGCTCGGAAGGTGCTGCCCTTGAGATCAATGCCCAACCAACAACCGCCGAACGAGGACCGCACTGCTCTGAAGTTGTGTTTAGAGAGTTTACGGCCTGAGCTGGGTTTTTTTTTATCAGGCTTCGCCTTTCTTTCCATGGAAACAGACCGCTGAAGATGCTCAGCCCCATGTATGATGGTGCAGTTTGATAATGTCTTCAACTGCTGCCAAAGAAAAACCCCGCACCTTTAAGCCCAACTGAACTGCCACCTCCATGGCTGATCTGCCGGCTCCAAGGGCGCTGTCAAGCTAACAGTATGGGTGTGCGCAATGGTCCTGGAGCGGGGTTTGAGGGTTGCCGCCACAGACTCTTGCTTCGGTCACTCCGAACCCCTGATCTCTCTTGAGCCCAAGACAAACGGCTACCAGCAATGGTCAATAATGGCCGAAGATCGATAGAGAAGACTCAAAACCTGGTTCGAGACCTGGCACAGCTTTCTTGGCCTAAACACTTGCAGATTTGGCTGCCGATGTGAAGAATGAAGGCGGGCTAGTCATGTCAAAGCTTGCGGTTCGTCCTTCAATGAATCTGACACATTAACCATGCTTTTTGTTTACCTGCACGTCAGCTCTGCCTGGACTGCAGTTTAACAGTTTAACATGGTGTGTGTGTGTGTGTGTGCGTGTGTGTGTGTGTGTGTGTCTGTGTGTGTGTGTGCGCGCGTGTGCGCGTGCGCGTGCGCGTGCGCGTGCGCGTGCGCGTGCGCGTGCGCGTGCGCGTGCGCGTGCGCGTGCGCGTGTGGGTGGGTGTGTGTGTGTGTGTGTGTGTGTGTGTGTGTGTGTGTGTGTGTGTGTGTGTGTGTGTGTGTGTGTGTGTGTGTGTGTGTGTGTGTGTGTGTGTGTGTGTGTGTGTGTGTGTGTGTGTGTGTGTGTGTGCGTGATTGTGCATGCATGTGCATGCGTTTGTGGGTGCGTGTGTGCGTGCGTGCGTGCGTGCGTAAACGAGTGCGCGCGTGCGCGTGCGCGTGCGCGTGCGCGTGCGCGTGCGCGTGGGCGTGGGCGTGGGCGTGGGCGTGGGCGTGTGCGTGTGCGTGCGTGCGTTCGTGCGCGCGTGCGCGCGTGCGTGCGGTGTGTGTGTGTGTGTGTGTGTGTGTGTGTGTGCGTGTGTGTGTGTGTGTGTGTGTGTGTGTGTGTGTGTGTGTGTGTGTGTGTGTGTGTGTGTGTGTGTGTGTGTGTGTGTGTGTGTGCGTGCGTCTGTGTGCATGCGCGTGTGTGCGTGTGTGCGTGTGTGCGTGTGCGCGTGTGTGCGTGTGTGCGTGTGTGCGTGTGTGCGTGTGTGCGTGTGTGCGTGTGTGCGTGTGTGAATCCCTGAAATCAAAGGGCACTTCTTGGTTAAAAAGCAGGGGGACACAGCATGTCACTGGGACTGTGTCCAACGAAGCTACCAGTGACATGGGAAGAGAGGACTGATCATCCTCTTGTACCTGCAAGTGATTGTGGCACGGAGTTAAGCCAAGAATCCCGATAACCATGACGGAAATGTAACCATGTGCTAGCTACTCCCACCATGGAGTTTGCAAGTGTGTTTTCGACCGGCATTCTGTCAAAGGGCCGGGCGTAGCAACTGCTTGACGTCTTGAATGAACAGATCTATACCTTGAATGTTTTCCTGCTCAGCCGCTCGATGATTGCCATGCACATTGAATGCAGCTGACCAATTGAACGCCTTCTTGAATGTTCCAAACTTGATCGATACCTTGATTGACATCTTGATTGATCAATGAATGTCAACATTTGAATGTCAAGTTGAGATCCTTTTTGAGATTCCTATCGACGTTCCGGAAATCACTGACTTCCAAGCATGTCTTGGACTCAGGAAGAATGGGATTCGTGGAGAAACGGAACCTGGGGCAAACAGCCTCCTCCGGTACCGACCACACCTCCCAATGCTCCGAAAACAAAAGAGTTCGGAAGCCCTCAGGGCCCCTCTAACCATTACGAAACTGATCTTCCCCGAACTTTTCATAGCGATCGTGATTTTTATGACACCAACGAGGTGTATGGATTACAGTTCCCTCGCCAAATACAGGCATCCAGCTAGGCTCAAAAGCACCAGCTTGCTGGCAGGGACCTAACTTCCATTAAGTTGCATGAGGTGTGTTGGCAAGGATGGAACAATTTTTCTCTTCGAAGCCTGGCCCAAGGCCGGTATACGAGCATTCTTTTTGCTCGATCCATCAAAGAAGCCACATTCATGTCATTTCTGATGCAGAAGTTCCGGGAACACAAAGTGGACCTGGATCAATATGCTTCTGTATATTGCGATCAACAAAGCATCCATATCGATGCAACTGAAAGTGAGTCCGCTCAAAAAAGTGCCAAAATGCGGCACTTTTGTGAATTCATCTTTGACCAGTGTAAAGAGTTTCAGCAAAAGGAGCTATGCGATGCCCAGGATCGCATCCGCGAGCTCGAGCAACAGCTTGTTGAGGCACAGAAAGGTGCCCCAGCAGCCGGGTCTTCGGTAAAACCAGGACCCAAGCGGACCTCAGATGCCAGTCAGAGCAGCGAGAATCCACGGAAACGCAAGCTGCCTATTGCCAGCCCAACGGGGAACGAGCCGACGAAATCGACTCAAACCCTTCTTGAAAAAGCTTTTGATCCTCATTTCCAAGCACAACGGGTTCTTGATAATCAAGCTCCTGTAACTGCTGTTCCCCAATCCACAACAAAGTGGATCCAGAATTTGAACCTGGAGCCCAAGCTCAAACAAGAGCTCTTGCAAAGCTGCAAAGCGGCTAATACCACTATAAAATGGCTTTCTGATGAAGACAAGGAGGCTCTACCACAAAGAGCTGCAGATTTTGGTTTTCCTGTTCGCTCATTGCATGGAGCCAAGGAAGCTGACCTTTTGAAGATCGTTTTGGCAGCTTGTGCCCTGGCCTCTTGACTGGAGGACCAGAAGCACGATCTTGAGCTAAACAGCGATTGCCGGCAAAGGATGCAAACAATCCTTTCTATGGCAAAAACTTGCTTACAGGCTGCCATTTACGAGCCAGAGTTCATGCCTTGGCGTTTTGGTTTTCGGGTGTTGGGTGCTTTTGTGGTGTTGGTTCTTCTTCTTCGCCAAACAGGCACAGGAAAACTGGCTCGCTGGCGCCAACGATTTCAAGAGTTTGAAGGTTTTCGTGATCGGAACTTTATTTCTGCGATTTCGGTCGCACGTATGTTTCTCGAGCCCTTCGCGGCTTACATATTGACAACCGCTCAAATTGAGCCCTTTTTCCAGCTCGGACCTGACTTTTATGTTGGATCCACAACTGTTTCTACTCAGAAGAGACAAGACACTCGTCTCAGAAAGCTTCGACAGCTGCTGGACTTAAAACCAGTCCATGCGGAGCTCGTCTTGCATTGGCAAGTTTCGCATCAGTGTCTCGGACAACGCCAAATTCGTACACTTGAACTTGCTCTGATTCAGAGGTGGAATCCACCACTGAATTACCCCTTCATCCTGAAAAAACGGATGACGAAAATGGGTCCTGATTACTCGTGTACGATTCGACGAATCGCTTCATCCTACAACGTTCCTGGTCGTCGTCTGCACAAGAAACTACGTGCCAGACTACATAAGCTAGGAGCTTTATCTTTGTACAGTCCTGTGAAACAGGAAATGCATTCCTCGTGGATGATTTTAACGATTCTGTCTGAAAGGACCCTCGCTTCCTTCAACATGGAGCGATGACTGCGGTCCTGCTCATATTCGCTACCGCATGTGTATGCATTATTTAGACTGTCGAACAATTTGGAAGAACCTCCCAAAAGTTTGGTGCAAAGCATCCTGCTTCGAGTGCTGACTTTTAAAGGCGGCCATGCTCCGCCGAAAGCACGTCCTGTCAAGATTCCACTCTTGTCCCATAGCGATTTCCGGGACGCCACCAGAAAGTGGTTGAAGACGAGAATTATGCCTTTTAAGGATTTCTTGATTCCTTTTCACCTGCCTCCGTGCCATGTCGTTTCTGCTGCCCATTCTTCGCTGGGCACCATGCTGCCGAACCACCATGTCATGATGGCACAGTTTTCCTGGGACTGTCAGCCAATCTGTCGGTGTGCTGAATTCAGATGCAAACACCCTGATGTGGCTGGAGTGGTTCATCCTCAAGATGGACATTGGCATGTTGCCTCGCCTTTGGACAAACTTTCCGTTTCTAGGCGACTTCGTTGTCTACTTGGCACCAGCGCGAAAACACAGGTATACCCTGCTCGCACATCGTTTATCAATGACACATGGAAAGAGGTACAACGGTGGGCCAAGCGTCACTTCGTACCCAATGTGGTTTTTTCTGACTGGGAACGGTTTGTCTGTGATCAATGGTCACGACACATCGTCAAAAGCAAAACTCCACTTTCCTTTGACGATGTCAAGTACATCAAATCTGTCATTGATGGTTACGTGGTGCAAGGCCGAGACCACGCGCCCCATCATCTACACGTTTTCTGCCCTCTCTTCTACTGGCGAATACTTCGCAATACCTTTGGAGATGAAGATGTTTACCTGCCATCTCTTTTGACACCCAGCCAACTCAGCTTTTCTTGGCAACTTAACAAAGAAGGCATGGCTCCGACCCTACAGATGGGGAATGCAGGACACAGCGAAGCTACCTTGCTCTTACCTGCTTTTGAAGCAAAAGAAGCAGTTTCTGGCCGCCAGACCGATCATTTCTTATCGGCATTTTGCCTTTGGCCGTCTTTTCCAGGCAGCGAGCAGCGTTCTTAACATTCTGCTACCTGTCGTTTTTCCTCAGAGCTACGGCCATCAATCACTACCTGAAATTTTCCGAAGCTTGCATCAGTTTCTGTCCAATGCTGAAGAGGACATTGAACTCAAAGAGTTCAACCAAGATCTTGTGGGCTTCTTTACAAGCTTGCCCACTACACAAATCATGGAAGCAGTGGATCATCTGATTGATTCGTATGCTGCTTCGCAATCCACACCTTTTAACAAGATCAAATTTACTGTACAGCTTGGAGCCTCTGAACCACGATTACGAATTTTTCAAGGCAGCTACAAGCGCCAAAGATCCAAAACCGGAGTTGTCTATTTAAAAGACCTGTCGGCCATCTGTCAGCTTTCGCTCGAGACGTCCTTCTTTTCGCATATGGGACGAATTTTCAAGCAAACAAGAGGATCTGCCATTGGCAACCAGATCTCTCCATCTCTAGCCAATGTTGCAGTTTCTTACAAAGAACACCAATGGTCCATTTCGAATCGTCTGGCT